GTGGGGGGACTTTGAACCAGAAATGCAGGAGGGAAGAGCAAACGAAGGGATTTTCTGCTGTGTTTGTGTTCAGGGAGGAATTTTGACAGCAGAATTTTGACAGCAGAATTTTGACAGCAGAATTTGGAGATCCTCCTTAAAGTGCCCCAGTTAAGCCAAGCTCTGCCTGTTGGTCCGTGTTTATCTCGTTTTTTTTTTTTAAATGCCTTTGCATCTGAGTTTGAGGATGTTTATCCGAGCTTTTCCTGGCTGGAAGAATTCCTGCCGATCCTGAGCAATCTCCAGCTTTGTCTCTGCCATCGGTTTGTTGATATTTCCCTTATCTCCCAGAGAACCTTTCCTGCTTGCCCTAAATTTCACTCATTCCCTGTTATTTTACAGCCAAAAATTTCTTTTTTTTTTTTTTTTTGATCCGAGTTCCGTGGAGGGAAAAGGAGGCTGGCACTGGAGCTTTCACTTCCCTGTAATTATGGAATTCCTGAGCAGCCCTTCCAGTCCTTCCAGTTGGATTTGGGGCTGAGAAATCCCCAATTTCTACCTGGAAAAAAAAGCAGCTCCTCAATGCCCAGCATCTCCAGGATGGAGATTTGGGATTTTTTTGGGATTGTCCCAAATCCGAGCCCGGCTTTGTTGGAGGCAGAAACTCCTGGTGGGTGCTGCAGCTTCACCCAAAAAAAAAAAAAAATCCGAATTAAATCCCAGGGGTTTAAATTCCATTTCCACCCAGTCACAGGGATACTCCTGGGATTTTAAAAACCTGAAAAATTAAAAGTGCCGTGGGGCCTGAACACAGGATCTGCTACAACACCAGAATATTCCAAAAAGTTCCTCTCCTTCCACAGCTTTTTTTTTTTTTTTTTCCCTAAAATATCTCCGTGTAGATCCCGAATTTTGGCAGGGAAAATCCCCCAATTCTTCCCCTCTTCCAAACCCAGCTGAAGCTCCCGGGATCTCCCAGGAGAGGCAAAATTTGAAAAAAAAAAAAAAAAAAAAAAAAAAAAGGCAAAAATTTCACTTGTCCAAGCTCCAGCTCCTGCTGGAATTGGGGATTTCAGCTCCTTCCAGCTGGGGTGGATAAAAGGGAATTGTCCAGCTGCAGAGGGACTGAAGGCTTTGTAAACAAAATTAAAAAAAAAAAATAAATCTTGGAGTTGTCTTTGCAGGGAGTTTTTAATGTTATTTCTCATTTTTTTTTTTTGCCCCATGTTTGGGAGCTGGAATTGGGATGCTCCTTGCAGGAATGCTGGAGTCAGGGGGCTCCTCGTGGAAAATAGAAATAAATCTGCAGGTTTTGTGTTGGTTTGGGGAATTTTTTTTTTGTTTTTTTCTTTGGTTTCTGCTGCAGATTTGTTGTTTTTCCACGTGTAGGGCACAAGGCCCTGCACTGTGAGCTCGTTCCCCAAAAAAAAATCCCCTGGGATTCAAGGATCCCTCCAGGAGGAGCAAGAGGCCAAAAAAAAAAATCGTGTTTGTCCCAGTGTTTGTTTGGATGATTGCAGAGAGGGAAAGTTCATTTCAAAGCTGGATCAGGTCTGGGTCAGAATTGGATCAGGTTTGGATCAGGGTTTAAATCAGGTTTGGATCAGAAATGAATCAGGATTTGGATCAGGATTGGATCAGGGTTTGGATCAGGATTTGGATCAGGATTGGATCAGGGTCTGGATCAGGTTTGGATCAGGATTTGGATCAGGATTGGATCAGGGTCTGGATCAGGATTTGGATCAGGTTTGGGACAGAAATGGATCAGGTTTGGATCAGAATTTGATCAGCTTTAGATCAGGATTTGGATCAGGCTTGGATCAGGTTTGGATGAGAATTGGATCAGGTTTGGATCAAGGCCTGGATCAGGTTTAAATCAGGATTTGGATCAGGGTGTGGATCAGGATTGGATCAGGGTTTGGATCAGGTTTAAATCAGGGTCTGGATCAGGTTTAGATCAGGTTTAAATCAGGGTCTGGATCAGAATTTGGTCAGGCCCGGATCAGGTTTGGATCAGGGTCTGGATCAGGTTTGGATCAGGTTTGGATCAGGATTTGGTCAGGCCTGGATCAGGTGTAGATCAGGTTTAAATCAGGGTCTGGATCAGGGTTTGGATCAGGTTTAAATCAGGGTCTGGATCAGGTTAGGATCAGATTTAAATCAGGATTTGGGCCAGGGTTTGGTCAGGCCCGGATCAAGTTTAGATCAGGTTTAAATGAGGATTTAGGCCAGGGTTTGGTCAGGCCGGATCAGGTTAGGATCAGGTTTAAATGAGGATTTGGGTCAGGTTTAAATGAGGATTTGGGTCAGGTTTAAATGAGGATTTGGGTCAGGTTTAAATGAGGATTTGGGTCAGGTTTAAATGAGGATTTGGGCCAGGGTTTGGTCAGGCCGGATCAGGACCGAGCCCCTCGCTGTTTCAAACCCTGACTCAGCGTTTTGGGCGCTTGTGCTGAGTCACCCGTGCGGCCTCAGCGGGGAGCAGCTTTTTGCTGACTCCAAACCCCAAATTCCCCATTTTTGAGGGAAATTTGGGGCCGGGAGCACCGGCAGGAAGTGGGGGAGGGGAATTTAGGAGAAGCTGAGGGCTCAGCTCTGTCACCTGACCCTGGGCCAGCATCTGGGCCACCGTGACTCTGCACTTGTGGCCACGGGGTCTGCCCCTGGACAGCTGTTCCAGCTGTTCC